TTCTTACGTTAATAAACAACGGATTCCATAACGCGAATAATCATCAAATAACGTGAATGAACCCAAAAATACGTAAATTGTGACTATTTAGGTGCGACCAAACCCAATACATTGGGGTCCACTTTTACTGCGTAACCACCTTTCTCTCTCTCTCTCGCCTATATATTTGCAAGGTAATGTGGCCATAGTATCACAGCAATACTTAACACAACTAAGTGATAAATGAAATAACAATTTGCAACATTTTTCAACTTTCATTCAAAAGATTATAATACTTAACAAAAGAAATTATCTCACAAATTTATAGAACCATACAATGAGTGCTCACCAAATTCTTGAGCTATTAAAAAAATTGAGATAGAAAATTGAACTTACAAATGAACTTAATATCTCCTTTGATATTCAGTTCTTAACCCCGTCTAATTATTTTTAGACGACACCTAGGTCTTGCCTTATCCTGTCGACGTGTAAAGATGAGCATGGTCATAGGATAACGATAAGAATTGCCAAGAGAAGATATATAGAAGAATGAATATATAAGAGTTGTTGGGATATTGCAACATGAGCAATGATTCAAACACATGATCATCTTTTATTCATCATGGGATCAATATTCAATATTTTGTACAAGGGTTATAAGTATAATACGCTTTTTTATTATGCATTTTTATCAAACATGCATGTCCCTCTACTATTTTCTTATATATAAAAAATGCGCACGTACTTTAAAAAATTATCAAACATGTCCTATTAAAATTGTCAACAATTGTCGAGCCAATGATTCGAACTACCCGGCCTTGGCAAAATTGGAGGAAAATTGTCACATTTGCCCTCTTTTTTATTTCTTTAAGTCTCGTTAAAGTAAAATTATTAGGGATATTAAGCTATACAAATGAAAGAAAAGAATATTGTGTTGCCGAAACCAATAATCGACCGTGGTTTATGGCCTTTGGATAGAAATTTTAATAAAAAGGCACGTTTGATCATTTTTCCCAAATACAAAGATATGTTCGATGTAAAAATAATTAAAATGAATGTTTGATAAAAGTGTATATAAAAGAGTGACATACTCTACCTTTAACCTTCTGTACAACATATAATAAAATTCAAACATTTCATTGACCACGCGGTAACCACTAATCATAATATGGAATTGTAATTTGTGATTAACCAACCAAACCTTATACGATTAGATGAAATTTGTGGTTAAACCACAAACCAAACTTCCACTTGAAATGTGGACCGTTGCATGATATGGCAGGACAAACACGCAGCAACAGGAAAGAGATGGAAAGCAACCACAAAACTAGGGATGGCAATGGGGCGGGTTTTGTCAAACCCAAACCTACGGGTTTATTCGCCAAAAAAAACTTGGGGTAAAACTCGTTGGATTTGAAAAACTCAAACCCAACCCGCTGGGTATCCGCGGGTTCATGGGTACCCGTGGGTTTTTGTGGTAAAAATTTACAATAACAAGTTTCTTTCAAAATAAAAGTTTAACATCAATTTTCTCATACAAATTAATCATACAAAAAACACCAATCTAGAGCATGCAAGCAAACCGCAAATGATCAATACAAATTGTTCAAAATTAAAGATAAACATATAAAAACAATAAGATTAATTGAAATCTTCTTCCTCGTCAACTAAGTTTCTTCACTCTCCACTTCATAATATCAACTTCATTCTAAACAATTAGAAAGAATAAATTATACATGTCTCTACAAACATTTAGAATATTATTTGTTTAAGGAAGATATATTATTTAGAATATTAAATATACCGTGAAAGTAATTATATGTGTGTGGGCGGGTACCCATGGGACGGGTTTACCTAAACCCAAACCAAACCCGACCCGATGAATAGTGTAGCGGGTTTAAACCCGAACCCGGCCCAAAACCCGTCAACACGGATTTTACCTGCGTTGACCGGGTTGGGTCGGGTGGGTACCCGTGGATTTGGGTTTTGTTGCCATCCCTACACAAAACCATCCAATCAGAAGACTGAAGGAGACAGTTAGACCTAGATTGGGAGACATTCCATCCACACAATCTTATTACTAGATCTACCAATAAATAAAAGTGACATGGGAAACTTTGGATTCCATTTCAAATTTGCTGCACATCTAGAATGAAAATTTGAATGGTAATTTTGTCTTCACGGTTATTTATTATTTTCAATCATTTTTTTTATTTACATGAAAAAATTTATCAAGAACGAAATTCAAACCATGCATGATCTCTTCAAACAAAGACAATAAACATAAACAATTACACTAAATAAATTTGTTTGATCTTTTTAAATTAAAAATATACAGGAAGGTTAAATCTGAAAAATCATAGGACTTTTCCACCACGATTAGCTAATCCACTAACTCTCCCGTAAATATTTTTTTGGTATTTGAGACTTCTAATTTCCTATTTGTTTATACTAATTTGAGTTTAATAATTAATTTAATTTTTATTTATCTTATAAAAAAAAGATAATTTTAAATCGCAACTCAAGTGTCATTGGTTTAAATATTGCATATCGAATTGCACTCTCTTTTTTTCTTCGTTGAACCGAATTGCACTCTTGACTGTGCAGAAGCGATGTAAAATGATTAACATATACTTAATTTTTATAACTACCATAAATCAACGATATTTTATTTTTTGACCACAGAAGTTTTGAGTTCATATGTGGCACATGTGTCTTTAAGAGAGGGATAACATGGAAAGGTTGAGTGATGTTGGTTTGCCGAACGCGGATGGAAAAAACATTACTCATGTAAGGGTGCCTGAATAGTGTCCCGTCCACTAATCGCTCAACCATCGCCGTCTCTCCAAACTTTCCAGCAGACTCAGCAACCGGCTAACCTACTCCACTTCTATTGTTACGCCCATAGCAATTTTTGGAGGGGTATATATGGGAAGATTGAGTGTTTTTGGTTTGACGAACGCAGATGGTTAAGGTGCTACTAATTTAAACAGGCTCCATCCCACTAAACGCGCTTACTTTCGCTAACACCTAATATAATAGTGAAATGGAAAAGGTGTTTTCCCCATTACAAAATCCTTGCATCCATAACGAAAGTAGCAAGGGAAGATTCGTTTTCATAATCATTTATTATTTTCTTATTTACAAGAAAAATAATACATCATTGTTGAGATTTAAATTGTGGTCCCTTTGAAAAAAGACAAGAAACATAACCAGTTATACTGAAAACATTAATCTTTATAAATTAAAAACAAACAGGAAGTTTAAATTTGAAAAATCATAGGAATTTTTCACCATGGTTTGCTAAGTTACTTACTCTCCTGTAAATATTTTTCTTGCTATTTGATACTTCTATATTCATATTTTTATTATTTTAATTTGAGTTAAATAATTAATTCTATTTCTGTTTATCTTATAAAAGGAGAATAATTTTAAAATCACACCCTGATGTCATTGGTGCAAATATTGCATATCCAATTAGAGTACTGAATGTGTAGAAGCGATGCAAATTTTTTAACATGGACTCAAATTTTATAACTACCATAAAACAACAATATTTTTTAACATCGAAGTTTTGAGTGAATATGGGGCACATTCTTTAAGAGGTGTAAATATGGAAAGGTTTAGTGACGTTGGCTTGTCGAACGCGGATGTAAAAGACACAACTAATGTAAACATATCTAAATAGTGTCTCGGCCCACTAAAGACTCAACCATCACCGTCTCTCCACCTATATGGAAGGTTGAGTATTCTGCTTGGAGAGCTGATTGGTGGGTTATTTAGTTTCTTTTACAGTAATGTGTGATCTCTTAACCATCAATTCATTTGTGATATGATCCTAAATTACCCCTCAAACACGAATTGAATGCCTGTCAAAGAATCAACCCATATTGGAAGGGAAAAGGGTCCAATTTGGTTAAGTGTTCGATCAGTCTTTTGGTGCTTACTTTATAGGTTCGTATCTTACATTCTGCTCTATGGAAATTCAAAAGAAAGGTTGGAAAGTGAAGAATAAGTGTTTGCCTACATGTTTGAAGCATGTTTGAAGCTTTGGTTAAGCCAGAACGAACCATTAAAGCCACTTTCCAGATGCCTCAAGTTGCTATGGTGGAACTGGAATTCTGCCTGAATTTGGCCAAGTCCGGAAGTAGTTCGAGCTACCATATTTGGTTGCTTATTCGACACAAATGGAATATCGTCGATGGGAGAAGTGAGTTGGAACTTAAAGTTCAAGACCTGGGGAAGAAACGACTGAAGCCTGTTTACATCGACTCTCCTTGGAAGGCTCTGATCGAGGGCTTCAAAGTGACTATAGAGGCTGGTTTGATAGTTTGTGCATGAAGGCAGAAGCTTGGGTGTGAAGTAATTGAGTTTTATTTCCTTTTTTAGTTTGGATTTTGTTTCCTTGTTGAGTTAGAGTTAGATTTGTTTTCCTTGTTTGCTTAGAAGTCGATTTAGGTTGTCGATTATCTATTTAAAGGCTTGAAAGCCTCGTGTAAAAGACAGAGTTGATTGAATGGAAAAATCGTGAATTTGTCACCTAATCTTGTGTGTTGGTCGAGTTCCAGCAACAAGCTTGCTTCGTATCGATTGAAACCGCATCAATCGTGGCCGAGCCTCACCTCAATTCGACCTAAAAGTTCCCTCCTTGTTAACAACCTTAACTCTGGCTCTTTACCGTGCCACCAAACCTTCTCCCTTTTTTTGGAGATAGAAGAAAAAACCTTTTTCCTTTCTTTAATTGAACTGATTGAGAGCTAGGGGGGTAAGAAATACGACAAACTGTCATTTTATGAACCATTATCAGTTTATAATAAAATTGGGACGGATACGCATCAAAACCTTGAATTGACATATTTGTCTTTAGACACAACAATAATGTCATGTCCTCTTCATTTCAGCCGGAGCCTACCTACCTACCACAAAACATGTATCTCATGTCGTAACAGTGCTGATATTTGCACTGACCACATGAACATGCATGAAGAAAAAGAAGAACCAACAATCGAAAAATAATTAAACACTTTTATCTTTTTCTGAATCGTGGGGCAAACTATCTTCACTTCATCATCATCTCCTTCTCAAACAAGAACAGCTGCCACAGAGAAAGAGAAACCAGCTAGAGATGGCTGAAGAAGGGATCTCAACAATGAAACCAATCTTGCTCTACCTTCTCATCCTTTCCATGGTAATTAATCATTTCCCTCATTGCACTAATTACATATTAATCCATGCTTAGCACTAACTCATAATCTTGTGCATGCATGTATGTACGCATGCAGTTGGGTTGTGTTACTGGAGCAAGATCGATCGATGATACAGGATCCACTAATCATCATCAACACCAACATGATCACATGGCGGCGAGCAATAATAATCCAAATGTAATGGTGTTCTTCACCTTGGCAGATCTCAAACAAGGTGCAAAGATGCCGATATATTTTCCAATCAAGAACCCATCAACCTCTCCACGTTTCCTCCCTAGAGAAGAAGCCGACTCCATCCCCTTCTCATCTCAACAACTCCCCTACCTTCTCAAATTCTTCTCGTACCTTCCAGGCTCCCATCAAGCCACGGCCATGGAGCAAACCCTAACCCACTGCCAAGGCGATCCGATCAAAGGGGAGGTTAAGTTCTGCGCCACTTCGCTCGAGTCCATGCTCGATTTCGTTCGAGAGACGTTGCAAGGTGAAGGTGAAGGTGGTATCAGGGTTGTGAGCACGACCCACCTGAACAGGAGTTCGGGGGTCGTGCTCCAGAACTACACCGTTTTGGGTGAGCCCAGGGAGGTTGAGGCTCCGAAGCTGGTGTCGTGTCACACCATGCCTTACCCTTACGCTATTTTCTATTGCCACAGCCAGGCGACCGAGAATAAGGTGTTCTTGGTCGACCTGGAAGGGGTTGAGAAGAAGGGGGATAGGGTTGAAGCTGTGGCTGTCTGCCACATGGATACTTCCCAGTGGGGGCGTGGACACGTGTCGTTTCAGGTGCTTGGGGTTGAACCGGGTTTCTCTGGTGTGTGTCATTTCTTCCCCGAGGATAATCTGGTTTATGTTCCGGTTCCGACCCATGCGGCGGCCTGATTAGCATTTGGTATTACCGTGAAGTGCATGAGTGTGATGGTGTACTGTATTCCCCTCTTCTTCCCTTGGCTTTTGTTTAGGTTTTCTTGTGTGTTTCACTCTTGGTTTGGTTTGGTTAGAGAATGATGTGGTAACCAAGCAAATAAAAGTCAAAACCATTGAGTGGCGAGCTCTTTTCTTGTGCTTAATTATTATTGCAAAATATGATCAATCGTATGAGCTTGTAAATTAAACGAATAAAATTATTGACATCAATTGGTTTGTGATCATAGTATATTTGATCTGAAAGATGATACCTCTGGCTCCAAATATTTTTTAGAATTACTTAACTTACAAATACAATGCGAGTTTTTGCAAGTTCAAGTAAATAAATAAAAATATGAGTTTTTTTAAAACAATGTTCGCTATTGGGCGAAAAGTTAATCTGCTAACTTGAAGATTCGTTAGCAGATACTAACTGATATCCAAAATATATGAACTAGTATCCAAATACTAAGGGGTTGTTTGCTTCAAGGATTTGGTACATGGATTTGGTACCAAAAAACCAACTATCAAGGATTTAGGTACAATCCATTGTTTGCTTGCACCTTTTTTGGAGACCAAATCCGTGGGGCCACGGATTTTAAGGGTCCAAATCCGTGGACCCCACAGACTTATAAATCCCACATGTTGATGTGGGATTTGGAATATGGCATAAATCCTTGATGAGATTTTACCCATATACCCTCATGCACTTTTAATATTCCAAGGTTGCCCTCAAATTTAACTATTAATTATAATTAACAATAAATGAATAATATAAACGTTCAATTAATGTGCAAACATGAGTTAGATTTTTTATATCATTTCTTGTGTTCTAGTTTTCTTTGACCTTTTCATGGAACGTGTAATTCTTTGTTATCCCGATTCTAATATATGTTGTTATATGTTACTTTTGAAATGGAGGACAAATAATTGGTAATTGATTATGTTAAAGTTAAAACGGAATTCTCGTTTATTATTATTGTCCATGTGGCAACATTATGCTTATTAGTATGTATTGTCCTTGTTTTGTGTACATGTCATAAACATGTCAAACATATAGAAAATGATAGTAAAGTAATTTTGAAGTTTTGTTCTTGTTTTGTGTACATATCATAAACATGGCAAACATATAGAAAAGGGCAGTAATGTAATTTTTGACTTCAAGTAGTAAATCCCACACCTTTAAATCCATGATAAAAACATCCCAACAAACAAAGGATTGTTACAAATCCATGATGCCTCAAATCCTTGATAAATCCTTGGGTTTTTAAATTACAAAACCCTCATTTTTAAATACATGAAGCAAACGACCCCTAAAATATCTAGAGAGCACAGACTAGTATTCAAAGTTTGCTAACTGATATCCACCATGAATCAACTATTATCTCAAATTCACAAACTAATATCTAGACAACACAGAATAGTATCCATATAACACATAATTAGTATCCAGATAACACATAAGAGTATCCAGATAACATATAAGAGTATCCATATTGAATACTAGTTGGTTGTTTGTGGATATTAGTTGGTATATGCTATTTGGATACTAGTTTGTGATGTTTTGAATACTAGTCTGTGCTATCTAGATACTCAGCAGACTTGGATATTAGTTCATACATTTTGGATATTAGTTAGTATATACTAACGAATCTTCTAGTTAGCAGAATAACTAGGCTGCGCTATTGGTATGCCGGGTTTGATCCTCAAAACTCCATTTTACAATTGTGTTACACTTTAGTCACGAATCGAATACAAGTCTTCAAATCAATAGAGCAAGGATACTACAAATCTACAACTTAGATTGTTAGATTGAAGTTTGATGTATAGCCACGTCATATTTAAAAAAATCCTCAAGAACCAAGGGTTTTGTACTAATACATGTGTTACTAGGATTTTCCCAAAACGAAAGGGTTAGGATTTTGTTACGGTGACAACTTGCACTTTTAGATCGACCTTATATAGGTTTAGGTCGATCTAATCTGCATTTTTAGGCCGACTTTATATAGGATTAGGTCGACCTAATATGACGTTTCAGTTTTGTGAGGTTCAACGACGCGGTTGACCTTTTATAGCAAATGGCCGACCTCTTTGGGAAGCGATGTGGGTGGTTCTTTTGCTCGTACAAATTACGTTTCAAACCAACAGAATCATTCATAAATAATGATAACAAGGACTCATAACTTCATAACATAACAACTAAACAAACTAACAAGAAATACAATAAAACACAAATCATAATTGTTCACACATAACTAAACTCTAAAACCACATAATATCAATCCACAATCGTTTTTAACACTTAACAATAAAAACACACAATCTAAAATCGTCGATTTCCTACTCCTGTCCCCTCTCTCCCTCATCCACATTTTCTTCATTGGTGTTGCTAGAATTATGGTAGTCGGAAGTTACGGTGACATGCATGTATCTTCCACTAAAAGATCAAAACTCATATCGCATCTCATTCACGGTCACCTGCAGTGTGCTCATCTGGGTGGTCATTTGCCCCATGTAGTCGTACATACCAGTCATCTGGGTGGAAATCTGACCCATGTAGTCGTACATGTCATCCATGCGCTTCTCAAAAGGTCGACCATTTGCTATAAAAGGTCAACCGCATCGTTGAACCTGACAAAACTGAAACGGCATATTAGGTCGACCTAATCTTATATAAGGTCGAACTAAAAGTGCATATTAGATCGACCTAAAATTGCAGATTAGGTCGACCTAATCCTATATAAGGTCGACCTAAAAGTGCAAGTTACGGTTCAGGCATACCAAAAGGATTATTATTCAAAATTCCTAAAATACAATAGTTGTTAATTAATCGCAATCTACTCAGATTTGGACAAACACACTACTGTGCTAACCTTCTTATCGTAAAGCAATTATGACAAAAATGTTTCAAGAATTTGCTATATGTAGGAGATTGAAGATAGATATGTCCATTTCTTGCCTTCTCCCAATTAATTAACGGCAATTTGATGATTTGCATTATTGGTGGTCTTTCAGAAGATGGCCCATTGTACTGTTGAGGGCCTTGAGGCTGGTTGGGATATTGTTTTCTATATTTTTACCATATAATGGAAATGGATATCCAGTGGGGTATTGATATCTCTACATCCTGATCCGATGGTTACACATCACAATGTGCGCATAGTAACATTGAAATCATAACTTTTTTAGTTCAAAATTTAACGTTATAATTAATCACTCGACCAAATTCGTAATAGTTATTAATTATGTAAGATTGTTTCTCAGAAGAAGCATTATAAGAAAAAAAAAAAAAGATAAAATGACAATTTTCTAGACGCATTTAGTATGTAAATGAATATTACGAAATTTTACTTATTATAGAAACAACACAGAAAATTAATAATGTTATCATATACTTATCCAAACTTTTCATATTGAAATTTCCTATCAATCACCTCGTCGGTCCCCTGTATCAAACCAATAAGTCCAACAATCCAAATATTGAAATCTTTTATTTTCCTAATTAAAAGTTTATTGAAAATTCTTGCTTTCAATTATTACTTTGAAATTCATTGGCGTTCCATTAGTCTCGCGCCTATAAATGGCTACACATCGCAGCAAAACCAAGTAATATCTCTTTGTAACTCGAAACATGGCTACACATTGGACTTTCTTAACTCTCATCATACTGTTTCTGGTAACGTATTGATTCCTTTTCTAATGTCTTTCTATTTAAAACTATAGCCTCTCTGATTAATTACTAGCCATTTGAATTACTGAATATTATCTTTGTATATCTTTGTTACGTTTACTTAATATGATCTATGTATATATTACCCCAAAAAAAATGATCTATGTATGAGGAATTTTACAATGCAATATAGTATTGGTGCTATAGGTTTTTGCCTTTATGGTACAACTTGAAATTGTACATTTAACGTTATGGTACAACTTTAGATTATACCTATACTGTTTGTACAAATTCTTTTATGGTACAACTTGAACTTGTAATTTTATGTGATGGTACAACTTCAAATTGTAAAGTTGTACCATAACATAATGGTACAAATTCTTTTATGGTACAATCTAAACTTATACATTTCATGTTATGGTACAACTTCAAGTTGTACATTAAAGCACCAATACTATATAGCATAGTAGAAATGCTCTCTATGTATATCTTTGTACCTTTCCATGTAATATGTGGATTATTACATGGAAATATGTGGATTATTTTAATTTTGCTTCGTTGATTTTTCTTTGGTCTACTTTTAACTTGCGTGATTCTGGAATATTCTCGAATACACGACAACCTTAATCATGACGAGCATGCATGCAGGTGATGGCACGTAGCGGTCCCACAAGTAGTGCAAGGAAAGACAGAGCCGGAGAGTACTGGAGAAGCGTCGTCAAAGACCAGCCTCTGCCGGCGGCGATTCAATCCCTCGTCCTCGTCGAACTTGCCGACAAACACAACGGAGCACGTGCTTGCGATACGGAGACTACTTCCGCCGTCGTCAATGATCATAAAGGCCACGTGTCGAAATTCACATCGGAGCCTCAAGTGTCACGGTACGAAAACGACATCAACGTATCGGGCAAGTTCGCTAAGGATTTCAAGTCAGAACCTCAAGTGTCGGAGTATGAAAACAACATCAACCCTGGCAAGCTTACGAAGGAGTTCAAGTCGGAGCCTCAAGTGTCACAGTACGAAAACGACATCAACATACCAGTAGCTGGTAAGTTTGCGAAGGATTTCAAGTCGGAGCCTCAAGTGTCGGAGTATGAAAATAACATCAACCCCGACAAGTTTACGAAGGACTTCAAGTCGGAGCCTCAAGTATCACAGTATGAAAATGACATCACCGTACCAATAGCTGGTAAGTTTGCGAAGGATTTCAAGTCGGAACCTCAAGTGTCGGAGTATGAAAATGACATCATCTCCGGCAAGTTTACAAAGAACTTCATGTCGGAGCCTCAAGTGTCACAGTACGAAAACGACATCAACATGCCCGCTGGTAAGTTTGCAAAGGATTTCAAGTCAGAACCTCAAGTGTCGAAGTATGAAAATGACATTATCCCCGACAAGTTTACGAAGGACTTCAAGTCGGAGCCTCAAGTGTCACAGTATGAAAACGACATCAGCGTACCAGCTGGTAAGTTTGCAAAGGATTTCAGGTCGCAACCTCAAGTGTCGAAGTACGAAAACGACATCAACCATGACAAGTTTACGAAGAATTTCAAGGCGGAACCTCAAGTGTCACAGTATGCTAACGATGTGACGCCACCCAAGAAGGGTTTTGCGCTGGAGTCGATCGCCATGGTCATAGCTGTCTGAAGTACGTGAAGGGATCTCGAGCATCCAACTCAGAACTGGGGTTTCTTACTAGCTTTATCTTCCAAGTCATTCGAATAATCGAGATAGACTGTCAACTTATGAAATACCTTGTCTGCTGGCTAGCTGATCTTGAAAGTTTCTTGTGTGTAATTTGCTTTAGGGTTTGCATGTTCAATTCCTGTTAAGAAACTTTTTCCCAACTTTCTGATCGATGAGTGGCTATATATGTGCTTGTATCATAAACCGTATTGTTAATTTTAATGGATGTCTGTCTGGTTAAATAATTAGAAACCTAGTATGGATCTGGCACAGAAGCAAGAGATTAGATTGTCCTTTCTCGTACCAGATTGGTTGTTTTTTATTGAATCTAATAAAAAATACACCCGTGAATTTGTTTGGGTGATAAATCTTCAATTGGAACAAATCATCGTAGAAGCAGATGACAATTTGAAATCGCCTCGGGTATTACTTGATTTGTTTGGTAGTGTGGGATGGGACATATGTTTTTACTTTAGATCCGTCATGTCCCGTTTCGTCCAGTTCTAATCCTATTTTATCTTAATTTCTTATAATATCTACTCATATTTTTCTTATTTTGACTTTTCTTCAACTAGTTAGACGTGATCTTTCAACTGGTTAAACTCAATTACTCATTCTATTCTCACTATTTCATTCATAAATTTTTTTCTCTATATTTTATTGTACAAAATAAAATTTTACGTGTTTTATTCAAATAACATGTATGAGTAGGTCGGACCGCCCCGAACCCGCGTGATATTACCCTCCCCGTCCCGAGCTTGGTGCTGGGCGGGTATAGGTATTGAGATACTCGCCCCGCCCCACCCGTTTGCCATCACTACCAGAAACACACAAAACCTATTTTCTTGCTTGCCGGAAGCGGTCTATTGCTTGCTGAAAGCAGTAGATCACTTTCAAATCATCGTTAGTAATATATGGTATATGTTACGTATAAATTACGTACGTGTATTTTACTTCATCACTGAATTAATGGTATGTCAAAATTTATAAAAAAAATATATAATTAATTATTTTCAAAATAAATAAATGTATAAATATGCTCAATTTATTAATTTTACTCATTATATATGAATATTATAAGCATTATATGTATTTTATATGTGGTTAATACAGAGCCATCAAATGAACAGGAAAAATAAAATAGTTAGAATAATACAAAAACAAAAAAATTAAACGCGTAAAATACGTATGTCCATACATACGGATGTAAAATAGACTATTTACTAACTATGCATCAAGTCATATTGGCTTGTAAGTGACCATAGACGACAAAATAAAAAAAAAAACAATTTTGTGCTATGTAAGAATACGGTGCGGGTCTTTGTGACCCGCAATCCACCCGTCACCCAACCGAATTAGTGCCGATAGGAGATTTTTCAATTTCCCTACTATTCTTAATTTATACGTATTAATTTAGTTTCAACTTCGAATTTAGATATTTGTGCACCCATAAACTAGATTTTATGCATGTATACAATGATATTATGTTGAAACATAAAATTCCAAAAACATGGTCACGATCATATATGTTCACCAACTACTCATAGTCATGTACGACAGTTACTAAATTATATCAATATCATTATACTATATATATATCACCATATACGAATTAATGGTTCATGTACTACCATAGTTCACGCGACACGGCCTTTATTCCACTGAGTGACTAAACTATACAAATGTTTAACTTTGCACTATCATAATACACAACAATATCATGTGTATTAAAAACATTGTCGTAAGACAGAAACTAAATCCTATTTTTTTAAAAAAAATCTCTTGCCGGCCAACATGTCGGGCTCAAAGCTAGTATTATTATTATCAGTGGCGTAGACAGACTTTGAGTTTACTGGGGTCCTTGAAAATTTACTAACACTAAACCCTGTGTATCTACTGAATTTTGAGTTGATTAGGATCCTTGGTAAGCTAATATCATCGAGAGTATGGGGTACTAAACTTACAAAATCGTACTAAAATCCTACATATCTAAATGATTTTGTTGCCCAAGGGTCCTAGGACCCCTCTCCCCCTCACCTCCCTCCGCCACTGAATTTATGATGACATTTACACGTTTTCGTCGTTCAATTATTACGTGGTGTGTGGACACATGAGTTTCACAATATGGTGATAAGAATTCTCGTACGTACGTGGCGCCTGAAAACTACGTATACCAACTATAGCAGCCGGCCGGGGCGTCGATCGTCATGGATGATCGATGCCAACTTGCAACCTCCACTTGAATGATTATTGTTAACAACAATATATTGTTGAGCGAGAAATATCATGAGATTCGCAGATCCCATCTTTCGACTTCTTCCCCACGTTCTTTAACTGCATGTGGCAGCAAAACGACATAACCTACCTACCTACTGTTCCCCCAGAAACCAACCGTTTCCATGCAGAGCTGCACCCCACAGCCACCATATCCACGCTTTCATCGTCACGTCCTTTCTATTCTTGGAATCGAAACCATCAAAACGGCGGGGCCAAAAAATGGTAACAGAGTGGGTCATGGAAATATATAACAGTGGTAATTTTTCATAAAAAAAATAATAATAACAGTGGTTTCACTTTTACTGCCTAACCGCCTCTCTTTCTCTCGAGTCTCGCCTATATATATTTGCAAGGAAATCGTAGCTATAGTATCAACCAAAGCAACCACATCAACACTTATAACAAAGCTGGTTGAAAGCATTACTATGACGTCTCATCACTACTCTTTCACGTTCCCAGCTCTCGTTATACTGCTTCTGGTACGTGCTTGTGCTTCATTAAGTTTTTTTTTTTCCGTATTAGTGTTAAGGTTATTACAGAAGTTAGCGGATAAAGTTGATGATCGACTTTGTTTGTGTTGTCGAGGTTGCAGTTGGGTGGCGTCAATGGAAGGAAAGACAGGGCAGGGGAGTATTGGAGAAGTGTGATGAAAGATGAGCCCTTGCCGGAAGCAATCAAGTCCCTCGTCGTTGACGAGCCGGAGGCAGCGTCACTCTCCGAGCACAAGGGAGCTCATTGCGATACTGCGGGCGAGAATATGCTCCGCCGGCGGCATCGTTGTGAAGTTCACCGAGGAGATCGAGGCACAACCTCAGATCTCAAACTATGGGAACGATGTCAAGCCGGCAGAAGGGAAATTCGTCTTGGAAATCGACGCGCAGCCTCAGATATCGAATTACGGTAATGATATCAAGCAAACCGCGGGCAAGTTCATCAAAGATATTGAGGCACAGCCTCAAATCTCAAACTATGGAGACGATACCAAACTGACTGGCAAGTTTGTGAGAGACGTCGAGCCACAACCGCAGATTTCGAACTATGGTGACGAGGCGAAGTTGAAGAAGTTTGTTAGAGATGACATTGATTCGCAGCCTCAAATTTCAAGCTACGGAAGCAATATTGCCAGTCCATCCAAGTTCGTCAAAGATATCGAGGCACAACCACAGATCTCAAACTACGACGCTGATGTGGTGCGATCATCATCGCCACAATTTGCAAAAGATTTCGACGCACAACCTCAAATCTCAAACTACGAACATGGTATCAAGCCAAACAAGCTTGCGAAACGCGTCGAGGTTCACCCTGAAGTCCATATCAAGGATAGTGAATTGAAAGCCGCTAGCAGAGGTAACTATGTGATGGAAGTTATCATGAAGACCAATTGAGCCACCACCTTAATCACCGAGGATCATAGGCCCGTCTCAATAATAGTAACCTGGCCTGTTTGTAAGAATTTTTATCGATCTATCCAAGGCACTAGCTAGAATAATGTTGATGGGTTATGTTTCTGTTTTTTTTTTTTTTTATGAATGATGGGTTATGTTTCTGTTTGTTTGTTTGTTTGTTGTTTTTGTTATTGATTTCGAGTGTTTTCGATCAAGTTGGTTTTGTATAATGACAATAACAAATTTTGATTTGGTCAGAAAATGAAAGCAAGTACTCACCAGGCTGATCATATAGTGCAAAAAATTCTATAGTTTCAAGCCAAACCCTGTTGACCATTTGCTTTACTCGGCATTCTGGTAACCCTTGAAGGCCAACAATGCAGCTCCATAAGCAGCTTCAGTCTGCATCGCCCGGCTGACAGGGACGCCGATAACCCTCCCCGATCTGCATCCACTTCTCGTTCTTCGCTCCACCTCTGCCGTGAACACTTGTTCAACTCGACTTGCTCCCATGGAGGGTAGGATTCCGACTCAGGATCATAACCAACCTGTGCAACAATACAGCAACTCAATGATCTCTATCTCCGTCAGCATCAGCATCAGCATAGATAAAAAAATCAAGATGTTTTTCCATATGCATTATAAAATGCTCCCCCTGCAGAAAACCAAACCTTGAGAGCATTATTGTAATCTGTGACATCGATGGAAATAGAAGCAACAAGCGACCTGAGATGACTTGGAACGTCTTCCTAACAGCGAGAAGAGTGTTCTTCTCCATGAACACACCCAATCCATCAGTTCTTCTTCATTCTTCCTAGACAAGCCACAAACAAGACGCCAACTTTATAACTAAAAACAGGCCTGGCTGGCTGTCTCCTCTACATTTCATTATCAAGTTCCCTACCCAGCTATGCTCAAGTCAAAATTTTCAAGCCTCAAAAAGAAAAGCAGAGCAAAAGACAGTTTACCTTGGAAATTGGATACTTTCTTTTCCCTTCAGAATGAAGTATCCCTTCTTTGTCCACGCCATCATATCTCTCACCAGAAATTCCAAAATCCATACCCAGGTAGAGCATCTCCTTGCTACCATGGTTTGGGGAAGCCATTACCACCCTCGCACTGCGGCTTCTTCATACACTTCTATTCCAACTGCAACTCTCAGCTGCTGAAACATGGGAAAATGTTGTGCTAAAGGGAGGACAAGTTTGAGGTCCTTGGGGCTGGAAAAAGACCTAGAAGGAAAAAGAAGGTTACCATGTACCGAAGCTGGCCCGCCGCGGCGAAACTAGAAGGTCAGTGTTGCTGCAGAAGGAGTGGTTGTGGCTGTGGATCCCATTGCCATGGCACTATAACTCTTTGCTCCATGGTCCCGTAGCGTTTACCGACGTCATGAAACCAATGGTATTGCTGTATGCAGTCTGCTTACAGTCATCTTGTGTTTTTCTTTTTCTTAATCTTTGAGTTCCAAAATCCTAAAATGTTTTTTTTTCATCGACTTGAGTACATTTTTAAAAATTTGATCAGTTTTGATAGGTTTCCTTTTATGTCACTTTTAAATAATTTACACTGAACAAGTACGAGTATTCAGTTTGCTAAACACGAACATTCAACGAATGATATATAAGTTTATTTAAAATAACACATTGATAGAGAATGAGAGAATCTCCCACCGGATTAATTCAATGAGGAATAGAACTAATCGAGCAGGTAGTCGTATACTGTGAAGTCATCATACAAGAGAGTCCAATCCTCAGAGTAATGAAGAAGGAAATAACAATTCTCGCAGAAGTGGCAGGGATTATAACTCGCCAATTTGTCATTCAACGTCACCTTTTTAGCTCTAAATATGTTGCAGACGTTGCATTTCTGCAGGCGCGGTTTCAGTCGAAAGCTCACGATTGGATAAGCAGCTCGATTCTGTGTGTCATTAGGATTAATCAACCTCAAGTCTCTTATCACGATAGTGTGCTTGCAGTCTCCCTGCCACCAAAGGAAACGTAATTAACTTTCCATGACTAAGGAGATGACAACATGAAGGGAACTTCAGGTTCAGGGCGAAGCTTATACCTGATGACAGTATAGATATGGAGCACCAAGCTGAAACCTCAGATCACAAAATCGCAGGGATTGCATCTCCGTCCGTCGGAATCCAGGTACTTTTGAAGGTGGCATCTTATACAAAAGAGCTTTTTGTTTACGCTTCAAGTCTCCTCTTATAATGGACTCCCATTTCTGATCGACCTCTTCTTTCGCGTTTCTAAGCCAGTCAAATATAGGCTCACTATAATCTATTGAATTGGGTTCCCTCAGATCATTGCAGAACAAATCCTATTGAAAGATTAGTTCAGCATTTATCAGCGATATTTTTGCAAGCAATTCAATTGTGGTAATGATGATATCAGTCAGAAACAAGTGGAACACATCGTACCTCTATAAGAAAATATCCCGAGGGGTCATGATGCCCTGACCTTCTCATCATCTCATCTGTCCTGCAAAATATCTTGTCCTTTAGTTCTGTCAAACATTGACATCCTAGCACGAAAAACTCTTGGGTCTGCAGACAAAATGAAGGGTGAACCCACTGGTGGAAATGTAAGACAACGCTAATCGTGAACAGAAGTCATCTAGAGAATCAGGACAGGACTTACCTTTTGCCATTGATGTACATTATGGTACACCTCCACAACAAGAACTACCTCAGGCAGCTGCACAAGTACTTCTTGACTATTTGAGGTCTTCACAAGCTGCACAATTTGGACATGAGAGCAAAGAGTAAATAAGAAACATCATCATTCAAAAACGTGATAAACAGAAATACATTACGATAGAATATTCTTCGAGACTACCTTCATATCTGAGTTGACAGATCTCAGAGATTTCATTCTTGTGATACTCTCTAGAAATGCAGCAGAGCTTTGGTTGGCCTTGTGACCAGCACTAGATTAAAACAGTGAGCCACAAGAAGCAAATATCAGAGGAGGATGCTGCATTCACTTGAGTCAAAAAAAAAATACAAAAGAACTTCCACAAACATGAGGGAATGCAATTCAGCTGTTGCTTTTTCTTCATCCTGCTCCTGTTTGATTTTCAGTAGCTCATCAACTTTTGGAGGGTAACTCTCCTGGATAAGCAATATCAGCGTATTCAGTAACTTGAGTGAAAGGATATGTGAAAACTTGTGCCAGAACAACAGAAAATTTATATGCTGCTAGCATATAACAAAAATGCCAAGTTCGCATTGGAAGCTTGGGACCATCACCTATCAAAAAAGAAATGCTAAGTCCCACTGGACCACTGATTTATCTATAACTGCAATATATATAGGAGGAAAAGTAGTCGTTCGTTTGAGGTGATCAAGAATAGGATAGAAAGCAACTAAACAGCACGAAACCTAAATTGGTTAAAAACCAATGAGTTAGCACGCAATAACCATCAGTTACAGACAAGTATGTTATCATTCTCCTTCCAAAACTTCCAGTTAGTGTTGTCTTGATAAATTATTCACATGCTCAAATAACTCACTTCTGCATCACGAGACTTCAACATGTCTTTTTTTCTCTTCCTAGACTTCTTGTCACCTTCCCTAGTGTCGCTACTGTCAACATTGGTGGATTCTAAAGAAGCTGAAGTACCACTTCCTCTTTGAGTGCTTCTTGACCGAGTTTGCGCTCCGCTGGACACTCTACGATCACTTTCTGCTCTGAAAGATAACAATAACATCTAACTTAAGAAGAGGTTGACAGAAAAAAAAGGTACTATACCTGCATAGTAATACAACATATGCAGTTATGTTCCAGGATTCACAAAGATAACATGCATAGATACGAATACCCAATGTGCAAAAGCTTTAAATTCGTCAATTCAAAGCAGCCATTGAATAACCATTCAGCTTATTGAAGATTGAAATTCTCACTCCGGTCTCAAGCTTCCTGATAATAATCAGTCAACTACACAAGTAGGGCATCGTAGATGGTGAAAGCAAAGATGGGATCACCTTTCATTCGTCTGTGGTACAGAAGGCTGCGATGAACTTACGTTCTCCCCACCATCCTCCTATGAGTAAAATAACCAGAGGAACAATGGTGAGAATGATAGCAAAATAACCATAGCACAACAAGATACTATAAAAAGCATACTTTAAAAACTTCTTTGAATGCCATCTCCACCAACTCCTCATTGCTGAGAATTTTAATGTCATTGACCCTGCAAATTATCCAAAATTACTGTTTGTGTGCGTTCAAAGTTAACAATAAAATCAATCAATGAAAGAACGAGGGAAAAAGTACGTGATATCATCGTGGTCGCGGGCTTCAGTAGAATCAAAATCCAACTCTTCCTTCAAACTCTGCGTCGAACCAAATCAGCTATCCATTAGCTCAATCAGGAGAGTAAGATTAATGAGCCAGAGTGAGAAAGAGAGAGAGCAGAAGAACCTGGAGCTCACTGAGAATGGCATCTTCGAATTCGGGGATTCGAGTGACTGGACTGACCAAACTCGATGTAAACAAAGGGCCGCCGCGAGCAATTAACAGAGGCGGCGGCGGCGGCCCGGCGTTAACCAGTTCCCAGTCTTCCTCCTCCTCCGCAACTTCGTCGCCAAATTCCCTAGACTTCGCCGCAGACTCGGCGTCCATAGTTGCGGAGCTTCACTGAAACAGGTCGTTGAACGCGAATCAACCAAGGATTACAAAAGCAACGGAAGGCGGCAAAATCTCTCTTGTTTGGAATCGACGTTGTCCCAGCCAAAGAACCAGGCGAACTGCTTTCTGAATTCTACAGTTCGAAAACAAGAAGAAGAAAAATCATCTGATCGAGTTCCCAATTGGGCTGAGGCCCAAAAGAATGACGAACCGGAAAAGTAACTTTTTTTTTTTTAATCCAAGCCAGTTCTATGCAGACCAGCCCAATGGGCAAATCTATTCACACAACTCAGCGGCATCATCTCCATTCTTAAACCCTACCCAGAGCTACTCCTCCCTTGAACTCTCCAGCGGCCAACGCAGTTTTGCCAAACTACAACGTTGCTGTCTTCGCTCTTCTCTCTTTCTGTGTTTTCGCGTTCGTCGCGCCTTTCCTCCTAAGGTTCGTCGATCAATCCTTCTAGAACCTGCCTGCTCTTCGATTTTGATTTTATTCGTTTGTTTCCTGGGAAAATGCATATACAGAGAGTCATCGCAGCTTTGCTTTGGTTTAAACTGCCCTACCACCTCCCTTCCGTTTCTCGTTTTGAGTGGTTGCAGAGTATTCCGCTTCATATTTCGCTTCAAAGCAAGGTTTTTTAGGTTACTGGACATCCCTCTGTTTTCTGTATGCGTAATTAGGTTAGTTCGTCAATGTAAGTAGCAATTCCTAAAGGGAGAGAACCCCTAATTTTGTCTATGTAATTACAGTTTCAGTAGGAGGCAGACTGCACTGTATTCGTACCATAGGTTAAAAAAAATTAATGACTTGTCTGCGTTATTCGTAATGGGACCTTTAGGTTTTTGGGTTAAGCAATTGAAGCTTTACATTTGGGAAATGTATATGGTGCTCAGTTGCTGGTCAACTTTTGTGGCAGAATGAAAAGTTTCAGTGTATGATGCTTTACTGATATACTTGAGAGGAATGGCAACTAATAGAGTTGTTACTTTCGTAGCTGTCAACTGTAGTTATTCTTTTCACTTTTTGATCTTACCATGTTTGATCTATCAATGCAGTGCTGCAAATATGTATACGGCTAAGCAGAAGATCCACAAAGACAAAGATGTGGAACCTTCCGAGTTTGAGGAGTCTATTGCTCAGGTACTGAAGAAGAAAGAAGCTGTTTTTACAAGTTCCATTAACCTGAGATACATTGATTCTGAGTAAGTCAGTTTGTGCTTCATCAATGCAGGCATTCTTTGATATGGAGAATACCAACCAGGACCTGAAAAGTGAGCTGAAGGATCTTTACATCAACTCTGCAACGTGAGAACTCGTTGTTATGAATGTCAAATCAGAAATGGCAATATCTTGCTTTTCTTATTGATAATCAATTGTGGTTTGTGGCCCTGCAGCCAAATTGATATCTCAGGGAGCCGGAAGGCAGTTGTGATTCATGTCCCCTATAGGCTAAGGAAGGCCTTCCGAAAGTCTCACATTCGGATAGTGAGAGAGCTTGAGAAGAAGTTCAGTGGAAAGGTAAATTTTCATTTTCTTGGCGTCGTTTCTGCATTTATGCTTTGGGGTATCTCTCTTGGTCTTGTAAACTGTGCCATAGGAGTTTAAGTTGGTTCTTCCCTGTCGAACAATTTTCCAGGATGTCATGATCATTGCTACCAGGAGGATAGTAAGGCCCCCCAAGAAGGGTTCAGCTGCTCAAAGACCACGCAGCCGCACGCTCACTTCTGTCCATGAAGCTATGCTGGAGGACATTGTGTTGCCTGCTGAGATTGTTGGCAAGCGCACGAGGTACCGCCTTGATGGATCCAAGATCATGAAGGTAAGTAAAACCTCTCTGATTTTCTAAGCAAAAGAACAAAATGAAAGATGTTGAGCATTTGTTTTTAATCCATTGTTGCATTCCCTTTTCAACACAGGTGTACCTCGACCCGAAGGAAAGGATTAGCACCGAATACAAACTAGAAGCATTCTCCAAGGTTTACCGAAAGCTTACAGGCAAGGATGTCGTCTTTGAGTACCCGGTCACTCCCGATGCATAAGGATGCTATAGCTAAGCTATTTGTTTGTTCTGGGAGGCTGGAGGTTGCTATCTAGTATGAAGATCTCCTGTTTTGAGGATATGGTACTTCAGTTTTGTTGCTATTTGTCCCCGATTTTCTGTTTATGTTTACAGTGGGTAACCAGTACAAACTTCAACGAGGTTTTTGGCTTTTTTATATGATCAAATGTTTCACTTTCACACATCGTTCATGAGACTGTCTATGTCTATGATGCTTGGTTGGCAGAATTTTCTGATCTGATTTGCTGTGATATGAAAGTGTAAATTAGGCTTTGTGTGAAGTTCCTATTGAAGGAAAGAGCACCTTTCCTTACAGCTTGCTGCCATATTGACCCAAGCGGTTGTGGGCTGGCCTGGTAGTTATAGTTATATCTTTGATTACACTGTGAGCAGAAGTGCACGTGAGCCACTTGTAAATGTCACTCGACAGATCAGAAAAAGTGGTGGTGGCGTCGTGTGGGGAGGATGCTTTGCTCTCAGCTAAGCTCGCTTTCCTCTTGATTGATCCCTTTACTAGTGCCAAACCAAGGTGGCCAAGACAGCTCATGAAACCACCATCGCTATATCAGAGCATTTATTTATGGCATAGGAGAAGCAAGTTTCCTTTTTTGTACCGAGAGAAATATCTTTAGAAGGTAGAAATCGATTATCAAGAACCGTCGATCTTGTGTCAATATGGTTTAATTTAGAGTACTTTTAATTTCTAGAAAAGAGTTTCGACTTGGTGATATCTTTTTCATTCAAGTTCGACATCTTGATCAATGTAAATTGTTTGCTAGTTTGGAAAAATAGTTGAGAGAATTGGAGATCAAACAAGGGATTGATGGTTGGATGAGGTGGAAATGGACCACCATTTCAAAAGGGAAGGTCTAACGTGCCAATCAACACCACCCTACTACCAAGTTTAAACTAAAAACAGAATGGCCATATAATGGTACATGATTTACCAACTCACTGTTCTTTCTCTCTAGCTAGTGGCAAAAAAATAATGTTTTTGCTTGGGTTGCACTCCACCATCGACGTCCCCGTCTCACATGGTTATAAGAAACAAGAATTTAATTGGACGTAGCTAGGAATGAATCATGATTTAAGTAAGGCTTACTCACTCAACAAATACTCCATCTTCATGTATTCTATCTATCAAGTCAAGTTTTGTTCCCGCGGCAGGCAAGCGCAAAGACGGTTCAAATAACTACATATGTCTATAGAACAAATTAACAATAGTGTCATGTCCTGATCTAGCTACGATATTAATCCATAGAAATTCATACGTTATATTGCACTAACAGCTGACATACTATACATTCGCGATTCACACTAAATTACATTAATGTGTTCTAATCTTGATGAACATTAGTATTGTAACTTGATTCGCTACAAGTAGACTGTAAAATCAGGGGAGAGGTGGAGGAGAGTAGTAGGGATGGCACCGAGTTGGGTCGGGAGCGGATAGTGCACATTCGTTACCCTACTCAAAATAGTTTGGGTTTTACCCATACTCACATAACAAACGGGTAAAAAATCAAAATCATGCCCATACCCATTCGAGTTTTGGGTATCCACGGTTATCCATGGATAATAATTTCTATTTATAACTCCAACCAATATGTTAACATTCACACGTATTTTCACATTATATAAGAGGAAAAGTACGACAATAATACGTATGATTGAAAACAGAGGGGTAATCACGTGGTTGAGAAAGTAAGAGAGAGAAACGCTCTCTCCTCTCTCTTCGCTTTTGAACGTTGCTGTCTCTGCTTTGGGGAAAATGACCGTTGGGTCTCCACCGCCGCAGGCGGGGGCAGACTACTGCCTGAAACCGCCGGACGGAGCACCGCCGCTTACGCCCCCGCAACCAAGTAAGAAGGCCAAGGCCAGCACTGGCGAAGGTTTCACAGGTGAAGGGGAGATGATTTTCACAGTAGCTACTGCTCATTACCAGAATGTCGATGAAGTCGTGCAAGAAGCCCGGGAGGAGAAGAACGATGGAGGCCAAGCCATGGGAAACGCGCCAGAGAATGCCGAAAATGCCGAGAACAAGATGTCCTACAAGGATTCCTTTCTAGGGAATGGGCCGCCGATTGATATTCCCGAAGGTGATGAACTGATGTCGGACGAATCGGAAGATGAGAATACAGAAGATGATCCGGATTGTCCCACCATCCGAATCAAAAAGAGCACTGATGCTCGAATTAGAAATCGATGGAGGCGGGCTATCACTTTCCGAATTCTTGGGAAATCTTTCCCCTTTGCCTTTGTTCACCGCCGAATCCAGAAAATGTGGGCAAGAACAGGAGGAGTCAGAATTGGGGATATTGGAAATGGATTTTTCCAGGCCACTTTTGACTCGCAACTGGACCATGATCGTGCACTCTATGGAGGGCCATGGACCATTGATGATCATTATATTGCGGCGGAACCATGGAGGCTGGGTAAGACTTTGATACTATCACCAAAGCATCTGTGTGGGTAAGACTTCCTAGACTACCCTTAGCCTACTTCGATGATGAAATTCTGCAGGATATTGGAGATAGGATAGGAAGAGTGGAGAAGATAGACTACAACACAGCAAACGGCTCTAGGGGGAATTATGCCAGAATATGTGTGGAAATCGATTTGAGGAAAAGACTCGTCTCCAAATACAGAATCAAAAGGTCATACACACTGTCTGCTATGGATGCGGATGCTATGGACACCTGGAAGAAGCTTGTCCGACTGCTAGTGCTCATAGTGCCTCTCCGGAGGAAAGAATGAAGACTAGCCAAGAGATAAGCCAACAGCAGGTAATCAGACCGAAAATTGTGGAGGATTTTGGTCCTTGGATTCTCGCAACAAGAGCGAAAAGGAAACCAAGACAACAGGGAAACCAAAAGAGTACCAAAAGTGAAACAGGGGAGAAGAATGTTGGAGTGGCAGGGGGCAGGGATCCAGATTCAGTGTGCTTGAAAATGCGGAAGAAACTGTTGATACTGGAGAGGAGGATGTGGAAGGAGCTGATAATGAAGATGAGGAAATGCTTGCCACAATGGAGGTTGCCTCTACTGAAAAACCTGCAGGGATAAAAACGAAAGATACTCCCAAACTAGGAAATCAACAGGAGACTAAAGGAAAGGAAACTCATAATGGAGAGGAAGTCAAAGGTAGTGAAAAATCTAAGAAAGGAACCGGGAAGAAAATTGCATCATCTACACCCCCATGAAGAAACAGGAACCAGTCTCATCCAAGCAACCAGGTTGCGATGTTGAGACACAACCTTCTGCTGCTCCAAAAACTGGTTTGGTCTCCAAACAGGTTCCTGAGGCCAAGCAAACTCAATTATCTAAAAGTGGGAACCCGAAGAGTGGAGTGTCTGCACACCATTCTGGCTCTCCCAAGAGTGGTAATGAAAGAGGACAGGCCTCAGGTGCTAGAGCAGGCCACCAGCCGAAGATGAAGACAGGCACAAGTAACCATGATAGCAAGGAAAAAGGTAAGAAGAAAACCAGCTCCCCGGAAATTGGGATGGGCCAACCAAGAAAGATCGAGTTTGATCAGGACTTGGGAGGTGCCAATTGTATGCCAGATATTGCAGATTCATCCAAGAATGGTACTCTTGGAAGTGATCAAGGGAGTGAGGAGATGGCTATGGCCATCTACAAATGCTGATTTTTAATCAGAGCTGTTGGGAACTGATTTAAGCCTTCCTCCATGGTTAAAATCTTTTCCTGGAACTGCAGGGGTGCCAAACACCCCAAATTTCTGTCTTCCTTTGCGTTGTATAAGTCTCTTAATTCCCCTGATATAGTTTGCATCCTAGAGCCTAGGATCAGTGGGAATGATGCCAAAGATGTCATCAAATCCATGGGCTACGACTCTTGTGAGGTGTCTGATGTTGTTGGGTTTAGTGGAGGTATTTGGGTTGTGTGGAACAGTAAGAATTTGAACCTTGAGCTGGTTGATAAGAAGAGACAGTTTTTTCACTTGAAGTGTGTGATGGGAAACACAATTAGGTTCTTCATAACTGTCGTCTATGCAAGCCCTAATGAACACGAAAGGGGGGTGTTGTGGGAAGGAATCAGGTGCATAGAGAAACAGATTGCAAAGCCTTGGCTCTTAACAGATGACTTCAATTCAATCTTGAAGCCTTCTGAGAAGCAAGGTGGTGCCGTTTTCAACATTGCCAAGACAAGAGCTTTCAAGGATTGTATCGAGGATTGTGGACTACTCGACTTGGGGTTCACAGGACCTAGATTTACGTGGTTCACAAGTAAATCCCAAATTAAGGAGAGACTTGATAGAAGCCTCTGCAACATTGAGTGGCATAATGAGTTCCAGTCCTCTCATGTGATCCACCTTCCCAAGATCAAGTCTGACCACAGACCTATTCTGACCTGCAGTTCCATGGATGCAGGAAGTAAAAAATCGGTGAGGAGATTCCAATTTCTTGCACCTTGGTTATCACATGATGATTTCTTTCCTTTCATGCTCTCTGCTTGGAAGAAGGATTTTGATTTCAATTCTGCATTGCAGGGTCTTACTGAAGATCTCAAAGAGTGGAATCATAAAGTTTTTGGAAACATCTTCGGAAGGAAAATGGAACTGGTTAACAGTCTTAAGTCATTAGAGCTGCACAACAAAAGGAATTCTACTAGGAGCTCAATTGCCAAAGAACAGGAGATAAGGGAGGAACTAGAAAGTACACTCTGGAAAGAGGAACTTCTTTGGATCCAGAAATCTAGAGCTAACAGGGTGATTTATGGAGATCTCAACACCAATTATTTCCACAATTCTACCCTGAGCAGAAGGTAGCATAACAGAATTCTCAGCCTCAAGGACGACAATGGGCAATGGTTGAGTGACCCAGAAGCTTTGTTGTTGATGGCACGTGACCACTTTGTCAATATTTACACAAGAGAAGACAGATCAGAGGCACTCGCCCTGCCAGCTGACTTCCATCAGATTGATTCCTCTCGACTCAGAAACCTGTGTACCATGCCCAGTGTAGACGACATCAAGAGTATTGTTATGGACATGAATGGTCTCAAAGCCCCTGGGAAAGATGGCTATCAAGCTATCTTTTATCAGAAATGTTGGAACCATATTGGAAATGACTTCTCACTGTTTGTTCAATCTTGTTTCAGGGATCCCAGCAGAATCCAGTTGGTAAATGAAACTCTTTTGGCTTTGATCCCCAAAGTTGAAGGGCCTTGGTCAATGAATCAGTTCAGACCAATTAGCCTTTGCAACGTGGGATACAAGGTGGTGGCCAAGAGGGTTGCAAACAGATTAAAGTCCCTGATGCCTGATCTTGTCCATCCAAACCAATCAAGCTTTGTGCCTAAACGTCACATCACTGATAATATCATTATTTTGCAGGAAACAGTTCACTCTTTGTCAAAGAAATCAGGTAGGAAAGGAAACATGATCTTGAAGGTGGACCTAGCCAAAGCCTACGATAGAATTGATTG